CTCGGTCCTTTGGGAACTTGAACACATCTGTGACTAAACTGCGTTTCGCCTTATCATGGACCGCATCGAACGATACGATCCCTTCCAACCAATCCAGCGCTGCGAGCGTATACCACGCAACTACCCGTGTCCGTGTCTCTCCAAAAAGCCACGTGACACTCACGCGGCATTGGATTGGTTCAGACGGCTCATAGCGTCACCTGCGGTCCTTCGTAAGCTGAAACGAAGTATAGTGGAAGCTATGAATGAGGTCAACCCAGGCTTCCGCGAACTTCAACAAGAAACGATATGGGGGAAGATCTGTTATCTAAAGGGGGCAAGTATCACCGGCCAGTGACAAAGGCCGGGAGACAGAACATTTCCTCGACCCCAAGCCAAAGTGCATGCATGGTTTGACCCTCGTAAAGTATTTGGTTTGACAATCCCTGTCCCTGATGCATTTCCCTCTAGGGTCCAGCAAACTCTCTCGAACAATGAAAGGAACAGTATCTGTGGAAACATATGAGTGAAATGTGGTTCGACTGTACCTCTGGTGGCAAAAAGCTGCCGACGTGGAAGCTGTTTTCTATTCTGAAATATTTTCTTCTTTCCTGGGGAAAGGAGGAAAGAATTTCCCTCTTTTCCTAGGAAAGGAAGAAGGAAAGTGGCGGGCGTCTGGCCGGGGGGGGGGGGGGGGGGGGGGGGATTTTACGAGGGATCCGCGAGCCGCACTTAGACCAGCAAAGAGCCGCATGCGGCTCGCGAGCCGCGGTTTGGCCACCCCTGCCATATACTGTCGACGAGCAGGATGATCGCGATACGTAAACATTGTAGCGAAACATATGGACGATAACCATCTCGATCCTGGAGCAAGTTCGCAATCCAGTTGGCGGACGACGAACATCCGGTACAGCACACAGGAAGCGCACGGCCGCCGTTTTTGCTCAAATATTAACGGTGTCGTAATACATTTTTTTAGAGTGATTTACATGCTCATTATATAACCAACGTTGATTCGCTTGATAGTCTGCATTAAACATGAGGGATAATTTTGGTTTCCAAGATCCTGCCCTATCAGTTCGTTAAATGTGTTCATTTATCTTTTATTTTCACCCTGAAGGCTCTCTCGGGCATTACATAAGGGGAACGTGATACAAAGATTGGTACAACTGAACCAAGTGGCAAAAAAAAGACAAAGATAAAAAATAAAGGTACAAAGCATTAATTGAAGGTAAGAGGCATTTGGCGCAATTTGGACCTTCAAACATAAGATATAAAAGAGACGGCGCACAATAAAAACATGTACATCAGAAGCAAGGCACTGACAACAACAAATATTGCAGGGATGCTAGGCTGTTCAAGGTTTAACATCTTTAGAGCGGAGACAAAGAACTGATGGTCACTGATGGAGGCAATTTTTCTGAGGAGGCTGTTCCAGTCCGATGTAGCGAGGAGTAGTAGAGTTTTTAAACATGTTGGTAAAACATATAAAATAGCGCAACAGAAACAAGGACAAGAAGTAAACAGGACAGGCGCTGTCCTGTTTACTTCTTGTCCTTGTTTCTGTTGCGCTATTTTATATGTTTTACTAAGATGAACCAACTAGCCCAACAACGTACCTTATTAAACATGTTGGTTCGCGCAAAAATGGGGTTTATTTTGAAAGAGTGATCTAAGCGGAACGATATATGATGAGCCGGTAGTAGGAGAGAGTCCCTAAAAGGCGAGGGACTCTAATAAAGTTTACGAATAAATGATAAGCGTGCGAGGTGCCTTGTACAAAGAGGTGACAAGTTAAGCCGAAGTTCTAAACTGCTTACACTTGCGAATCGGGAGTAGTCGCAAGCTAAAAATCTGGGGACTACTCCCGAGTCGATACTGAGCATAGCATATTGGAGACATCAACGTCAAAAAAGCCCTGCAAGGCCTTTTTTATCAATTTCTTGCAGAGTAAGGCATACGCATGATAAGAGATCCAATCGCGTTCCAATTCTGAGCTCTTCGCTTGCCTATATAAACGCTTTTCCCGGAGACTTCGTTTAATTTCCGATTTAACAATTGGGAACGTAGACAAGGCGTAATGTTTAAAAGAGGAATGCGGGAATCCTGGGACTCTATGATGTTGTTGCGAAATAACATCCAGTTTTTATTTACGGAACGCTCATCAAACTCACTCAAGAAAAAGCTAGAAAACAGACAATTTTGACATCAAAGATTCCTCATCTCTCTCTTGTAATCAAAAAATTGTTTCCTTAAAATATCACGCTTTGCAACGTGTAAAGAGAAGGTACAATGTGCAACACGGTGATTACTGACTATGTCATTAATGCAGCGTCACGTCTGCCCGATATAGCATCTCACGCATGACATTGGGATCTGGTACACAACACCAGTCTGGCATGTGGCGTACTTAGTCCCGTACGCAGTGTAGCACGCTGGCTGGTGGTTCTTTGTCTGGTTTGCCCTGCGGCGCATAGTGTTTTGTCTGTGTTTGTCCGTGTTTTGTCCCTATCGCTCTAGATAACCATTTTGTTTTGCATTATGTACCAACGAGCTCAACTTCAGCATGTTATTCAGTACTATCAGTACCACAGCACTGAGAAGGAGGGAGTGTATTCAGTTAATTCATTATGAGTTCTTTTACGATTACATGCCATAGTAATTGTTGGCACAATATCAGTTGTTTAACGTTATTTATGTATATGGTATAGAAATCTTTGAAAAGGTTTTGAACTGCTTAAGTTTCAAGATTGTGAACCATAGCCCCAGCAAAAAATTGAGATAATGTATATACCTTATTTTTCCAAGGAGCACGGCAGAGAAATGCCTACTTCGGCAGATGTTTGGCATTCCTAGGAACCTAACTTTTAAATAATACGGGTCTGTTCCGAGTCGTTAGTTAGTGCCAGCGTATTTGTCTTCAGCGTTTCCATGGTTTTGCTTTGGCCCGCTGGAGATGCCTTGAATTGCACTGAGTGTTGAACACTTTCCTCAAAAACAAGAACGAAATTTTCTCGTTTCCTCGTTCCTTCTCAGTTTTGGAGCGAGTTTCCGTTACAACAGATTGGAACCTGTTGCTAAATTAAAGCTATATTTGCGTATTTCATTGAAATAATTTTTTATATTAAGCGAAAAAAAAACACGTATAGCAGAGCAAGTGAAAATTTCCCCATCGAGCTACATGATGTGTCGTACAATCACATTTGATCCAGTTCCTTGTTTTCGACCATCTCTCGGACACTTACCCGTCTGGTGAAGAAGGAGGTTGGGATAGTCGATAATAAGATAGCTTAAATGCCTACTAAATTTGGTTAATCTTGCAGCTAGATAGAGAAAAAGAAAGAAAAACCGTTCCTCCCGCCGTTTCCACAAAAGCGCACCGAGCTCCTGTTCCAGTTTCACTGATGCAAGGTGCGACAACGACGTTCCTCCGCTCTTCCTGCTTGTTCCACGTTCCAGGAACGTTGTTACTTGGAATGCCGATGCTTGGAACGCCATTCCGTGCAACCCTGAATGCACTGCCTATCTGGAAATGTAAATCGTTCAGGGGAGACCAACCTATATTTTTGATGGAACGTCGCTTACAATGAAACTTCGCAGATTACAAATAAAAATATACGAACGTCTCAACACGTGTTTTTTTTCTTTTTACACGGAGTTTTCAAACAGTACTGCGAGATTTCATGTTATAAATTAAGGGGGTGAACATTTGGTTGTGACAGAGGCCGGTCAAGTGTTGGTACTGGCTTGTGAGACATCTGGATGCTCTCTGTAGCCAGCAGATGAACAGTCGGGGGAATTATGGAAAGGGTCAAGGGACAGTGTGGTTTCGAAAGCACCAAGCACTATGTAAGAAAAGAAATCTCAACTATGAAGGGGCTGTTCAACTTCCGTAATCACTCCCCGCTTACTAATTTCTGTACTGACGGCTGCATCCCAGATCTCTCACACCCTTAGGGCTCAACGAGGCGGCCCTATTGGATGAACCACAATCGCACTTTCTATTTGACTGTTGTTGAACGCTGCAAATTTCATCTAAAGTTAGCGCAGAGATGAGCGCTGAGTCAGTACTAGATGACCGAAGGAACAGGGGGTGACAACAAGAAGTCGAACAGCCGCTCAAATGTCGCACATGCGCATCATGCCTGCTGATAAATCTGATTCCCTTCGTTTAATAGGAGTGGGTGCTTCCGAAGCCACGAGCTTGATTGGCCTTCTTTTCTCCGACTGTACCAAAGTTTTACGCATTGGATTATTTTATTTAAAGGACCTCCTTCGCGCCGGTTAGGTAAAGTGTAAGATGTTTTCAAGTTTACGTGGTAGCATAGGGTTAGGATAGGAGTATTATAAACACGTGAAAAACGAGGGTTAACATTCTTTGCTTCGTCCTTGTTTCTATATTTGCGCTTACCCATGGAGACCTCCTTGACACACTTTCCTAACTGCTCCGTTTTACCAAATAGAACGAATAATTTTTGCTGGCTTTTGGCAGTGAGCTTTATAACCCGTTTCGAAGTAATTAGTCCAAACTTAATCTACTATCCTACGTATCTGCGAAACGTTTAAGGTCTGTTTAATGGTTTCTGGGAACGTACAGTGGATTTTCGCAAAAGAACATATTCCAGTGCAACCTCCACCTCGAGGTAAACCTTGATGCAGTGCATCAATGCCACCAGTTATGTGTACATTTATTTTGAAGCTTCCTGCGGGAAACGAAAAACTCCTTGTTTGTCAAGCTGATGCCAAGATGAGTGCCTGACGGTAGTATATGGCGCAGCCTAGTGCAAAGACCTTCACCGCACGTGGAAAAGTCGAAATGAGTTTTTAGCAGCTGGGTCAAGTGGAGGCAAACAGAACGATTATCTTTAAATTTCAAGCTCGATCGCAAACCCAATGTCACTCTACCTGTTTTCTTTTCGTTCGCTTTTAAATGTCAATTGGAATTCAATGTTTAAAGGGGTATAAATATAGTGAGTATTTATCTGTGTCTAGCAGATATTGCAAGAATTGTTCAGAGCAACATGAAGTACGCCATTAGTCTCAGCGTCGTCGTATTTTCTGCCGTATTTAACCCGGCCTCCGCTTCCGACCGTAAGTATAGGACTGTAAAGTTCATAAAAAATTTTAAACTAGTTTTAAGCATTTTAAGATAGGGAATATTGATAGTTGACGCTCATTAAATGTAGATATTTTATAGAAATTCCACTGAACATATCATCAAAAAGATAATATGAATATTACGCTTCTACAGTGCCGTAAAAATGCACTAGAAAAGAAAAAAAACATAGTCGCGGTTCATTCAACATCTACGTATTGTTTACATTCACTTATTTTTACTTTACAGCCTCCTGTATTAATGTCAGCCTGTCAAATGTTCTGGGACTCGGAGATGTAAGTTATGGAGGTTTCGATCCGATATCGTAGACCTTTAAACGACGGACGCAATGTACCTAGTGTTTCGCTTGCATGAAACTACACCTTTTGTGCGAGATTGTTAAAAAATAAATCCACAGCATGATGTTCATTGCAGTTTCTATAAAATTTTCAAGCTTATTGGTACAGTAAAACCACGTAATAGCGCAGCACATACCTCTATACGTTGTCAAAATTAAACCTTGCAGAAAACAAAAATAAGAAGAACCTCTACTAGCGTTATACAGAGGCCCCTAACACAAATTATTTTTTTTTTATTTTTTAACGGAAAGATGAACTACGCATCGCTGAAAGCTCATTCTTTGCCTAAATGTGGCGCAAGGAATCAGAACCAGATGCAGTTTAAGAACTAACCGTTTCCTTATTCAGAAGATATACGTGATTTTCTGAAATTATCGGTGGAAAACTGGCGGCCGACGGAGTTCATGAATAATTGGAGCTAAACGGCACCAGTTACCGAAAACGGGCAGACACCAGGGCCGAATTTCTCATTCAAACGTTGAGAAAATCACATACAACTTTTGAAATTTTGAATGAGATAAGAGTTAAAACCGAAACATTGATATCAGATTTGCACTACTAGGGCTATATTTTGGCAGGAGAATGAGTGTTCTGCGAGCGTAGCTTATTTTTGGCAGCGAAAAAATCCCGGTAAATATCCCGATGAAAAGGACAAGTTCATTGTGGGATGAACGTGGACACTATAAAGTATATCCTTGTCGTTTTATGTAAGAGTTTACAGCTGAAAAAGTTTATCGGCAACTAATTTGTTTTTGAATTCCTTTAAACATACGTGAAAGATTTAGTCCTACAGAATCATTTAATGGAGTATGTTGATGTTGATAATGCAAAGGTGCAGGCGAGCTGAAGAAGAACAACGAAAATAATCGCTGGAAAAGAGGGACAAGGTAAACAGATTGCCTTGTGTTTGTACTGTGCCCCCTTTATTCCCCTTCTCCAGGGATTATTATCGTTAAATAGACGTTTCTTCTAGTTGCTGTGGAAATCTCGCTCAACCTCTGCATTCCTTGCCTTCGTCTTTCATCGTCTGCTATTCATTGCCTTCTCCTAGTGATGCAGGCGGCAAGATGTGTAGTTCACGTTACGTAGCGCCAGTGGCGTATAGAAGGAGTGACGGGGGGAGGGTTAATGCAGAACTTTGATTAATAGGATGATGAAGTGAATGAGGCCTGGTGGTCGTGGCCACATAAGCAGGCTTGTTTCGTTTGACATACATCATGTGTGTTCGGCGACAGAAATCTAGAGCAAAATATCTGTCTTGTCCTATGACCTGAAAGTGTCAGTCATATGACTTTTGTAACGGCTTTCGAACGGAGTCTCATTGAACGAAAAGCTGTTTGTACGTTCGGACAGCTTGTAGTACATAAATCGGTGACTGTTATTGTCCTCTTGGTTGAACTGCGCGGATTAGGCGCATGAGAGCTTTTAGTTGGGTGGCGTAGTTCGCGGGGTCGGTTGCGACTTGCACACCACCTGGTGGAAAAAGGCCTCCGGAAAGACGCAGAGCAGTGCTATATATATGAGCTCTGCAGAGCTACAGCCGAGCTCACATTTGACTAGGTACAGGTAATTTATCTTGGGAGTTGAATCTTCCACCATGCCATATTACATGTACGGGGAAAAACGAGTCCAATTTCGCGGCACACACACACACACAAAAAAAAAGATTGGACTCTTTCTCTAGCGATCTTCGATGTTCACAAAATTTTAGTCATGCTCGTAAAAACCACCTTCTGTTTTCTTAAATCACCTTCACCCTTATAACCATCCTCTTGGTATAATAAAATTAGTATTGCTCTCATAGATATATAAGATAGTTGGACATTTTTGTTTGCAGTATTTTCGTATAGACTCTTACTAACCCGTGTTGCTCATCGCAGGCCATAGACGCCATTATTTAATGCGCTCAAACTAGTCAATTGGCTCGGGACCTATGGGCTTTCCCAGTAAAATGAATTTGTACCTTGATTACAGTAAAAGGAATTGAATTGAAATTGACCGTTGATCAGAGTTCAAGGAGAACGAAGGGTATTAGTGTGCACCAATCGGTGGAATCTTCCTCTGCTTTGCGTGGTACCTTAAGAAATGGATGGAATCGCTTGACCATGTCGTTGCCTATGAGTTGGTAGAACGCCGCGTGAATGAGATGTGTACCAAGGAGCTGCGTTAGAGAACAAAATAGGGATGACTCGAACTGTCGCCCTGAGTCAGTTTTTTACGCTATACTGTATACACGAACCATCCGGTAAAGAAGCCCTGGCCATGGCGTTGGCTCTGGTATCGGGAATAAGGTAGGCTGGCGGCCAACTTGTAAATCGGTGGATGCAGGTAAGCATATAGGTATTATCATTTCATGGAGATAAGAAACCGACGATATCTAGACAAACGTTATCAAGAAGTGCGGTATGTAGTGGGAATTTTTTTTATAAGGCGACGAGGTGTGTCGATTAATTCTTGATTTTTCCGCAGTCTGTGAATATCCATGTCCATTCTCAGATGTCGTATTAATTCCGTGCGAAAGAAAACGTTGGTGACAGTGTTTTTTATGGTGAAGATTTTGGGTTCAGGGTGTATAAAAGGAGGGAGAACTGAATAAAGTGGTTAGCTGTGTTTGAGACGTCGTCACGTTTCTTCCACCCAGTCTCACGTGGTCTAAAAAATTGTAAACTTACTCCAGCTCGCCCGCGCCCTAACTGTTTTTTCATTAGTTGGTGACAAGACGTTGTGTCGCACGTATTCCGAGGTGCGAATCTAAACTCTAAAACATGTGTATTTATTTTCGTCCTATTTTTTTATTTGGTAGTGCCTGGGTACCTCTGGTGACCTGTGTACAGGAAATCAGGTAAGCAGTTTATAATGCCTCGAGTAATTTATGCGAAACCAGGCAGCACGCCCGGCAAACGCTTACTTTAGTCGAAGTTTGACAATTTTATGTGTCAAACCACGAGACCGAGCGCCGGGTGGGCTGGGATAAAACAGATGGTTAAACCGATTATAGAAATCCATGCTTTCAGTTTGTTTATTCAACAATTGAGGAAGAAAGTAATATGTTTATTTTTAACCGCAGGATGGGGCACTGAATTACATCGGAAAACTGGCCGAGGTGAGATTTCCAATTATTTCCACTTCCATACAGCTAGCCATTGCTCACAAACGATTTTATCCACGAGTTTGTACTGCTACAGCGCACGAAATAACCTTTTCTGTCGAGTCTAAGCATATATGGTTGCTACTCCCGACCGACAGCGCAAGCGAATTTCAATTACGGAAGGGACATAATTTCAAACGGGAATTGCATATGATAAGAACACTTATATGGAGGATTGCTGGGCAATGGTGTTGCGTACGCAAAATGTTCTAGCATAATGTGACGTCGGGTTACGTGACGTCGGTTTTCCCGCTAAATGTTGTGGGGAAACTGATTCAATCTGTAGGTCCCATGACGTTAATTTTACCGAAAATTTAGAAGATAAACTAAATTTTCGAATAGGTCACGCGACGTCAATTTCCCTGCCATCTTTAGTGTGAAACTTAATTGGTGTGTAGATCATGGGATGTTCATTTTGGTGGAAGAGACTATCGCAGCAAAAAAGCGTTTGCGCCAGGCGGGAATCAAACCCATACCATTTAGATTATCAAGCAAACGTCTTCCAGGCACGAGTCGTCACTTTTTTTTTAACATGACTCGTCACTTTTTCGTTTTTTTATTACCGTATTTTGAAACAGAAAAACAAAATTTACAGCAACATTAAAAGAGCGTCAATTCCGCTTTGATCCGGGCCTCGCGTTTACAAATGTTTTAGATCTATTAGTCTTTCCACCGCAGATGTTCACTCCGGCACTCTAGAACGTAGTTTCCCGATCTCAACAAGATCTCTTAGAGACGCGCCAAAATATTGAGGAACTTGTCTCGCGTCAGCATCTGATACATGACTCGACATATCGCCTTGGGAAACACGTAACCTTGGGGGGGGGGGGGGGGGGGGGTAACTCCCCGAGGTCACCGAAGGTACCCGAGGTCCTCCCGATGTCCTCCCGAATGAACCCGAGTTCCTCCCGAGTTCCTCGGGGGGGGGGGGGGGGTTACGCCGACGCTGATGCCGCTCAAGCCGGAAACGGGGGCTGCGCTTTAAAAAAGTAATATTTACGCCGTTAAACACAATTTAGGAGCGGGCAGCCCGGCGTTGGGTCTCGCCTGGTGCGTAGCTAGCCAAGTACATTTTGTATGCTCTCATTGGTTGAATAGATGATTGACATGTTAAATGTTCGCTGCAAAGTTTTCTCCCTGCCATGGTATTCTTCTACTCACTTTTTTTTAAACGTTCAGTTTAAGTTTGAGATTGCCTTATAAGCAATGACAATGCAATTAGTGCTAAAATGTAAGCGAGCTGAACAAGAATAGCGATAATAATCCCTGAAGAAGGGGAACAAGGGGGATAAAGGACAAACACAAATCTCCGAACACAGCTAAGTGCAGTGGCGTACCAACTTGGTTTTGAGTGAGGGGGGGGGGGGGGGGGGGGGGCGCGGGGTAGGGAGGGGGGGGGGGGGGGCAAACCAGACCCCGCCCCTGGGCCGGGGGGCGGTGCCCTTGTAATTCCTTGGGCGCCGCCAGCCAGTGTTTGCCCTGACCAGTGGCGGCTGTTTCAGGGGGGGGGGGGGGGCAAAACATGCCTTGCCCCCCCTTCCACTCTAAGAACTGGGGGAGGGGCAAGCGCCCCCCTTGCCCCACCCCCCCCCCCCCCCCCCCCCGTTTGTATGGCCATGGCTAGGTGACTGATGCGCGACCGGTCACCTAACTGCGTTTTTAGATTTGTGGTCTTCCTTTTTCTCCCTTGTTATCATTCTACAGGTATTATTCGACTTACATGTTTTTGTTTTAAACGGTAACAAAAATGGCTGCCGGCGTTTGCGGTGTGCTTGACGAGAGTAGCCCTTTGAGCGTTTATTTGTATTAGAGCGAGTCGTTCTGCCTTCACCCAGGTATTTAGAGCGAGATCTCAACCTCAACCGACCTAGCTTGCAGGTAACACCTGTTGTAAGTATATACCCGCCTTCGGGAGCGCTGTGCGCGTGCTTGTTTTCGTAGCCGGACTTTCCTAAGCCTAGCGTCCCACGTCAACAATGTTTCTTGATCTGACTTGATTCGTTCGTTTGGCGCGTGTTGATGCTGAATAAGGATGTTGATTCACGTAAAAGCGGCCCCGCTGCTTTGTGAATTGTACAACCGTCGTGAGTGCAACCATGGTTTAATATCGAGAAGATAACTACACAGGTAATAGTTTACGAGCTATTTGGCTGAGGAAATCGGGCGTTCGGCTCGCTTGAGGTTTGTCCTTCCCGTTATTTTGCTTGTAAACGCAACTAGCTCAAGTTTTGCAGTGCACCTGGCCTGCCAAAGGGAATATTTAAGGTCGCGTTTTAATCGTGCGTCATGACGCTCACCCACCATGCTCACGGATGCCATGCTAAAAAAAAAAAACAAAAAAACAAGAACAAAAAGTGTAAAGGACTGCATATTCATTTTGTTGACTTTTTTATTCCCTACGGTCGCTTTTTACCGCACATCGACAGAAGCCGAGAGACGCTTGTATAGACAATTGCAAGCATGGCGCCGCGACGGGTGCCATGTGTGCAAGGGCGTGAAGCACGTGCTTGAGCGTAGCGTTGGCAAGCTTGCGTTAGCACAAACAGGTCTGCGCAAGCCGAGACATCGCTGCGGCCCATCGCCCCATCTGCAATCGTCTATTGGACCGTGGCCCGTGCATGATGGAAGGCTAGAACGCCGGTTTAATGGTCGCGTCTTGTGAGCTTTGCTGAAGTTTTTAGGTGAAGGCGAATGTAGGGATGCCGCAAATCGCCCCCTCGATTAAAGTGGCAGCTCGTCAGCCTATTTGACTTGACCTTTCCGTGAAGGGCGCCTCGACGGCTCAACCCTTTCTCTTGGCGACACCGTCCTAGGGGACTTACGGGAACCGGCTGAACATGCTGCCGTGGGAAGCGACCCGTGTAGTCGTTCCCAAATCAGGGTTGGAGGCGTCTTCGAGGAGTGGGGGCTGAAAGGGTGGTAGGGAAGCCTCGATGGCTCCCCTCGTAGGCGTGGAGAGGGTGCTGGCACTGGGGCCAATGCGAAGAACAAGTCGTCTGCTTTTTGCGCCGGAGTTGCGGTGACATCAAAACGACGCTGAGTTTTGATTGGCTTTGATTGAAAAGATAGCAAGTAGACCTCAACGCTAGATGCTTCGAGCTCTACCCACAATTTTTTTCGAACAGCCAATAAGAGTTTGGCGTTCTGATAACATCGCAACTCCTGTGCAAGAAGCAGACGAACTTGCGGTCCACCTAGGATTGTTTAATGCCCCCGAATGGACAGGCTCTATGTCAGCACACTGGTCTTGAGGTCCTGGCGAGCCAGGACCTCAAGACCAGTGGGCTTGTTTCCCGCGGTCTGAGGGCCACGTAAGTTTGTCATGCGCGACAAAGGAGCTTGCCCACACCGTGCGCTATTGGGCAGTGGGCACCGAGGCGCATTATTAGCGACTTAGGCTGCCGCGAGCGACAGTACTCAGAACCGCCACGTTTTCTGTTTCATTTTGTAATAAGTTTTTTGCCATTTGTAAATATATACATATTTACCGATCGTCGAGTTTGAGCGCCACTGAAGCCACCAGAAATGAGCAACGCTCCAACCATCGTAGGACCCCAGGATACACCGGTCCTGATCGAGATACCAAGGAAGGCGTCTACGGACCGGGGAAAAACAACCAGAGCCCGAGGGTGAAACCTTACTGCAGAATATCAGGCGGAAGAAAGCGAAAGCAGACGCCGACGCGTAGCAGTAATGTCCGCGTCTTAAGGACATTGGAGACGACGATAGACGGTGGTTGAGTAGCAGACGATGCCGGAGGCTGCACACGTCTGCTCGCACGACTAGTAGGTGGTGTCAGACGCTAGACTAGACGCACCATATGTCGCGAAAGGGAGACAGTAGGCTTGCAAGCATGTTGGCCTAACAGCCAAGCCAGTAGAGTAGTAATAGGCGGGGCCAGTGACATGTGGACGGAGCGTAAAACGGGCTGTGACATCCACCTAAATTACGTCTAACGACGTACATATTACAAAAAAAATATATATAATGTTACCGTTAAAAAGATATAAAAGAATGGGTGTTCCACTTAAACACCTAATTTTTTTTATTAAATTGTAGGGTTTCTTTAGGCAATAAATGACGCACCCTGCTAGAAATCAACATACACTTCCGTAGTGTTTTAATGTTATATGATTAACACTTTTCTCAGATATTGTTTTATGAATTACAAAAAGAGCACTATCTCTAGATACTTTAAGAGTTTCGTTCATTATTCCGCCGTTTGAAATTGCTTCCTATCTTTGTTACTCTCCAGTGATTAAATTGATGCCCGACCCCCTTCGTTGCAGGTCTTACCCTGTTGCACTTCATAGCTATTGTGTGCTGTTCATTCCTATGAGCAATTCTAGGGACTAGCTCATGTTTAAACTCAACGTTTTATAATAAATGCTGCCGTCTTCATTTTTTCTTTCACTTTTAAATTATTTAGCTTTCTATATTTTTTTGACGGAAGCGTCTATCCGCTTAACAACGGGTCTTTTTAGAAACATTACCCTGAAACTGTAGGGACCCGTGATGAATATATGAGGTACTGAACTAAGCAATATTTATGTTAAAATAAAAAAAAAATGGATTGGACTTGATATGGAATTTTGTGAATCATGCAGAACAACGTTTGGTGGTGCCGAAATGAAGGTAAATCAGCGAGGATCGTCTCAAAAGGACTACAAAAAAGTGAATAGTGGCAATTTACTCACATCACATAGCTTTCTATTTCTTGGAGATATTCACAAAAAATTTCCTAGATAAACAAGGAGTAGACTTAAATAATTGGTTTCAGTGTTTTACGAACAAAACAATCTATATTTCTTTTATAGTTAACAACGCGGCGTTGAAAAAAGATAAATAAACAACAATGTAGGTTTTTTAGGGATTCTGTTCAATGCCATTGGGTAAGGTACTCGCAAAAATGATTGGTAGTGACAAAACAATGTCTTTCTCATATATTTCTTTAAAAAAAGTAATTTTTTCCTCACACAGTGCGTCTTGGAAGGTACCGAAAACTTGGATCTCGGGACGCAGGGGTACATAATTCTGCAATTGCTGGAAGCCACTCTTCAGAGGAATGGTCTTGGTAAGGCTGAATAAAGAGTCATCGTGCTTTTTTGTTTAAACACAAATGGTATGAATCATTAGTGTAACATTTCCACCCATACGGTTCTGCAGAACCGCACCAATCCTTCGGTAACTTTATTGAGGCATGCAAATAGCTGAAAGTGACCTGGTAACTGGAGCATCTTATCAAATTACAACTTTATAGTTAGGGCAAACTGATACCCATCGATTATCTGTAATGGTCCTCTGTTCGCCAAAATAAGGTATGTCGCTCCATTTAATAATGTTTATTTTATATTTCTGATATCCTTCCTTGCTTATAAAGGGAAGGGCCAAAAAGATCGAATACCAAAGCCCTTCTTTGCCAAAAAATATACTAGACACCAAAACTACTCAACTATAGTTTGATTTGCCAGTTCGCAAAAAAAAGTCTAACGGCAGTTACAATCATAATTCACAGCACACTTTAAGTCAAGTTCACGGTAAAGTGTTGCTGATGCCGGGTCAATTGCATAAACTCTAAACAACTGAGCTCCTTGTAGCCTGAAACGTATAAGGACTAAATAAGAGTGTATAACTTCCTCTGATCACACCTGATGCCATAAAATTCTGTCATAGAAGCTCGCCTTGAATCACTAAAAAGATTGTGGTTTTATCGTTTACTGTTATATATTTATCGCATTACTGTTAAGCAAATGTATCAGAAAAACTAATATGAGTTTATATAATTCTTCAATCCTGTTATTTGGTCCAACCAAAGCCGCGTAGGACTCATATTACATTAAGAAACTGTGTCAAACGTTGAAATCGTTCTAAGCAAATCACTCAGAAGAGCTCATGCGATCTATTAAAATTTCGAACCTTATGTTGGACTCATGCAATCGGCTCAGAGGAACATATAACAAATGTTAACTTTTCCCAAACTTTGTGGTTGGCCCAAAAACATCGTCCAGAAGAACTAGTGAGATCATGTGACTTCTCAAACTTTGTGCAGGATTCAAACATAATCTTATTGACATTTAAATATAAATTCCACAAACATGTATGTCTGTCCAAGCAAATGAGTCAGAAAAACACATACGAGATAATCTGATTTTGCGACATCTTGGCTGGCTCTAAAAAATTGCTAAAATCTTATAAGACATCGTTTAATTAAATTAACTCAATTTCATCCAATTAATTAAATCTCTTAGAATGTTTATGGATTACCACAAAATTTTGAACTGTGAGACTGTGTCTAAGCAAATCGCTCAAAAGAACGCATAAGGTCATGCGATTTCTCAAACTTTGATGTTGGCCCAAGCCAATCGCTCGGTGGAACTCATAAGAGTATACGAGTATTAAAACCTTATGGCTGATCCACGAAAATGGCTCAGAACAACGCATATGAAGGAACGTGGTTTTTTTCAAACCTTGTGGCCAATCTGCATTCTTGCAGAAGTTCTGCTTAGTCCCATCAAGCTTGTCTGCGACTACATCAACGTTGACTGTTCGGTGCTCAACTTGAACACAAACGCTGTCTGTGGAGATCCTATCGTCGTCAACCTCCCGAGCGCCCTCAACATTGGTCAGGTGAGAACACCCCATGACACGCCATGTCGACGCCGCCGACAGGAACCGATATGTTTGCGAGGGATTTCGCGTTCTATTGGTCAGCCATAATCTACGATAGCCCGTTCTTGCTGGTTCTTGAATCCGGTCGACTCCGCTTCTACTCAAGTGCGTGAGCTTTGAGCAAACGCTCTCCGCAATGTTCTGCCTTTCCGAACTGAACACACCGTGCTCAAATGCAAATGGCTACTGACAGCTTCCGGACGTGGCGAGTCTCGCGCACCTTGGAGGTCAGTTAGATTTGCTATATTAGCCAAAAAGTAAGCCTAAATGCAAATCAAGAGGCATAACGCATAACATAAAAAGACACGACCTGCACTTCATTCGCTGTCAGTGAGTATTGTGATAATAACGCCAGAGAACGAATCGCGTATCACAAAGTGGGGACATCACACTCGTCGCTATGCAAAGCGCAAGCTCGTCTGCTTTTTTGCAAGGTTGTGGTGACGAAAAACACCGGGCTCTGATTGGCTCGGATCGGAAGATCGTGGGTAGACCTCGAGGCAAGCTGCCTTGAGGTCTACCCACTACCCTTTCATCAGAGCATTCATAGCACGGCGTTATATTGTCACCACAACCCTTGCAAAAGAAACAGACGAACCTGCGTTCCGCATTGCTACGCGTCTCTCTCGCGCACAGCTGATGACAATGACATTGCGCATCATATACCTGTGACTATACGCCTTTTTGTTGATGACATAATCATGTACACCGAAGTGAGAACGATAGCGGATCAAGAACAACTCAGTACTGGTTTAAATAAAGTGGATAAGTGGTGCGAGGAGTGGCAAATGTTCTTAAACTTCAATAAATGTGTATATATACATATAACGCAAAAAAACGACTTCGCTCTTTAACTACAATGTGCGCGATCACCCCTTCCACTATTTACGTAATATAAATACTTTGGAGTCATTATCACAAACGATCTACAATGGAACTCTCACATCACGCATCTCACACACCTTGCATTGAATAAACTTTGGCATTTAGGAAAGAACCTGAAATCTGCATCATCCACCGTTAAATTAGCAGCGTACAAAACATTTGTTAGATCAGTTCTTGAGTACGCATGGGACCCATTTACAGTATCTAACACTAATTCAATTGAAAAAGTGCAAAGAAAAAGTTTACGCCTTGTTTACAATAAGTACTCTCGTAATGACTCCGTAACAAAACCCTATGCGATTGCTGGCTTTCAACCCTTGTAACTTCGTCGCAAAATCAACAGGCTAAAATTTTTGTTTAATTTATCCCATGACCGGTTTAATCTCGGCAAGAATAGCTACACTTGCCGCCGCCCTCCTCCACGCTACCCCTGTAGGACGCAGAACGTTATGGCCCTTGTCGAACATACTTGTAGAGAGACACGTTTAAATTTTATTTTTTTCACAGGACGATACATGACTGGAATTCCCTGCCTAATTATGTTGTTATTCAAGACGAATATGCCTTATTTGTGCGCGAGCTTTATCGTCTTTTTTCTTGAATTTTTCTGCTTTGTAATCGGTGGACGCTGCTGTGCAAACCTGATATGTATTGTGATGTTCAATCTCCTTTTCTATGTAGACCTGTACGTGTTGACATATTGAATGTTGTAATATGCATAGTGCTGACCCTGTTGATTTTTCTCTCAGTGTATTGTCAATGATGATTGTTGCCGACCCCTACAAAATCTCCAGTCGGAGATGTAGTATCAATAAATAAATAAATAAATAAATAAATAAATAAATAAATAAATAAATAAGATATGTTCGTATTTGGGATGTGCTGCTTATCCTCTGAAAGCCTTATTATCCAGCTTCGTAATATGGCAGTAATTTAGCTATTAATTTCTCATGTAGGAAAAATGCAATTTTTAGCGCTCATTTAGCGCTTTTTTTGAAGGGAGACAGACGGAAAGAACGCGAGAATAAATGATGTTTTGGAGAGATTGACACATTTTCGTTCATTTATCTATCGAGCTTTTTTTCAGTTAATTGTTTATAAAAATATCTTCCTATCATTTATTTCCGCGTGCGGTTGACACATTAATGCATTATGAACTATAGTAACTGCTTCTCATGCTTCAGCATTGAGATAGGTTTCTTTATACTGTGGCGACATTCTGTCATCGCAGTGCCTTGGAAACTCTACCGAGATCTGTGCTGCTGGTCAACCTGTAGATGTAAGTCCAAGAACTGAAGTTTTGATACAATTTTTTGTTTCATTCATATTTGAGCGTGTTACACTGGTTTTTATCTGAATCACATTTCAGGAAAGTGCGGTAAAGGTTCTGGTCGAATTGATTAAGGTAAGCATATAATCTGCTACACCTGTCACATTTCAAACGTTATGCATTATTTCAAAACAAAAAAACGCCCTAAAGTACGTTATTCAAAGTAAACTTTAAATAAGTTCACTTAAAGGGAAAAAAAGACGATAGTATGGCCGAACTAACAATATAAAAAGCAAACATACCTTGAAAATATTTTAAACTGAAGAACAATAGATCACTAAATTGCAACGGAACCTGCCGCAAAAAAGGTAAGCTGATCATTAATGTCAACAGAATCTTCTTACTATCATAGGAACGAACACACCGTCGCTACTGCAAATTCGTACGTTGATTTTGACATATATGAATACTCTAGATAATTAAACTTTGCTTTTTTGAGGCGAGCGTATTGGTATAGCGTAGAAACTTAAGAAACCAATAAGGCATTGTATAGCACGACGCGAAGAGGAAACTTAACAAGGAAGAGCGCTTCTAACAACTGACGGGTAATTCTTTAGACAGAGAGAAAAAGAGAGAGATGGACATATCTTAATATTACAAGATACACATAGAATATGTTCAACCAACTAGCCCGCCAGACTATCTTGATTAAGAAACAATACAATATTAAATGAGAAATCACGAAGAAAAACTGTAGACACATCATAACCTGAAATAGGAAAGGGCGGATAAAGACATAACTGTGTTGTCCTTTCCTTTTATGTGACTTCCTTCTGCTTACCTCCAGGACGCTTGAACGCTCACCTTTTTTTGCAAGAAGGGTGGGCTCCTTATGTTCTGTCGTTCTAGATATTTCATTACTTGTTAAGTTATAAGATAATAAAGCTTCACAGTAACCGATGGGATACTTATTTGTGTTGTTTTTTTGTTTTGTCACCGTAATTTTGATTCATTTTATATTTGGATTATCAATGATTTCTTGTTTCTTTGTAACCGGCCACTCTAACCACTTTTAACCTTCTTTTATTAGTGCATGCTTGACAATCTCTCGAAGGAAGATCTACAAACGGTCCTGAAAAACAGCATCTGCAGCTTGTTAAACATTTTAGCGAAGCTCCTCGGAGGCAACGTAATTTCAGGAGCCGTCGTGACGGGAGTCAACGCAGTTCTTGGAACGCACTGCACGTAAGTTTAGCAATCTATTCTCGTAAAAGCCGACGTCTTACACGTAGGAAGTTGAACGACTTGCGCAATGGTGGTTAACACGTATTTGAGCACGTGGGCTGATGCTGAGAATCGGATCGTCTCAGTTCAACACTTTCTAGACTTCCTTCTTCAAAGGCCAAAACTAGCGGTGTGCGAATACGGGCTCGAATCGAATAGCACTGCGTTATTTAGAACCTTCAAAGTGAACAAAAAACACCACAACAACGGACGTTTTTAAGAGTGGTAAAGCTAGGGATGACAGTGCACTATTCGATCCAAACCGGTATTCGCACGCCTCTAGACAAAACTCCTGAAGTCTGTAGCTTGAAAAAAATTAGGCAGAGACACTTAGGACTGCTTAGGTGTAGGAATGACAAAAGCATTTCTACACGCAGCGCATTCCTACAAACTGCGCGCCACGTCTTTCTTTTTCACACGGCGCTTCAGCGGTCACCTCACGGTCCCCCACTGCGCAGGCGCAGCGCCCGCCGCCGGCTCCACGGCTTCCGTGACGAAGCATTGCGTTGCTGTGCTTTTCTTTTTGTTTATTTCTGAGGCGCGTCCGCTTTGACCTTGAGGGGCTCTGGCTTCCGTGACGAAGGATCTGATACGACACGTCGCAGCCAATGGGATTTTAGGTGCCGCTTCGCGGCTACAGACACCGGCTTCCTTCCATGGGACAGTTAATGCTTTCGCATTAAATAGCGAAAAATCACATAGCACTCTCGGCGTGATTGGAACAGCTGGTGGTAGCAAACGCACAAAGAGGACAAGCGCCGTTACAATGCACTTTTAGTGCTGATTGATTGGCTTATATGTGATCGTATACCTTTGGTTACGCTCGGACACGCACAGAGTATATTTGCCGATGTGGCGAATGAATGTGAAAGTCATTGACACGCCAAAAGATTATTAAAAAAATGTCTGTGCCTCTAATTTTCTGTAGCGCATTTGGAAAAGCAAATCACTTAAATCTACGGATGACGGCGCCGAAAGTATGTTTTGACAAAAGCATTAAGACAGCGATGAGACAAAAAGCCCGACATCAGCTTCTGGTACAACATGCATAGTATTACGTTAGACATTAAAGACATAATTTGTTAGTTCAAACATTTTTGACCTTGCAGTTTGCCAAGCTTCTCTGGCAATGGCAGCGGTTGGCTTTGATGTCGACTATGACGTCCTATCTGATCCCTCACTTTCTTCCTCATACAAAGCGGAAGTTTATGTTCTTTTAGTTACGATGATTTTGGTAAGCTGGGGTATAGTTTCCTCATGTCTAAATACTGATATTTCTGTTTCAGTGTGTAGGGGCACATGAAGTGAGCATCGTCAAAGCGCATCAAGGCTTTCCAGAATACCAGAAGGGGCACTCAAGTATTTTTAGCTCCAGAGCCTTTGTCTGTTGGCATGCACCTTTTCCAACATAGCTCTGTGTTCGTGTATTGCACGGGGCAGAAATGCTACACTCTACTATCCATGTTTTGTTGTTGTCAAGGTTTATCAGTTGGGACCGATGGGAAGACCATTATATCCACCTGTTTGTTTTGAATGTTCTGATTTAGATTATGCGGTTTCTATGCTGCCACCTCTGTGCTGCATTCACTACTTCACACATAACCCAGATTTTTTTTAAAGAAAATAAATAAATCTTATAATATCAAGAATTTTTCAGATTATTTGTCCGACTTAGTATTTCTCGTGTCTTGTTTTAATCGAAAATAAAGAAAACTTACAATCTCAAGCATTATTCAGATTAATTGTCTGACTCTTATTCTTTCTTGAGTCTTGCTTTTATATATCTAAAGTGAACAACGATCTCTTCTACCCTCTAATGTCCGACCCATTATATATGTAATTTTTTCGACAATTTGATTTTAGACCCCTCTATCGGAGACGCACCGGAAAAGATGTCTCCTGGTAAATACACCGTCCAAACGCTTATCACCCAGGTCAAAAGTTTCGAGTTCCTGAGCTCTGAACTCAAATGTGGTGACTGATACTTCGCGTAAGAGAGCTTGTGCGCATGCTCAGAACGCGGTTCAAACCCCAGCAGCCAGAAATGGTACCGTGCTGAAGACAATTATCAGAATGGCCTATGCTTTTCACTCAAAACCGTTTGGACAATTACTGTGATCTACAGAGCGTAATCAGCGAAAAATATGATCATCCGCAGTCGCAGTTTTATTTCCTGGTTTCTTAAGATAGGATAGACGAAGAATCAACAATTTTCAAGGTGCGTCCACAGGTGGTATCTTTTACATTTTGTTCATACCTATTAATTTTCTATTTACATAAATTCTTGCAGCGCCGTTAGGCATTATGCAGGGGGTACAGGAAACATCACGCAAGAACAATATATATACACAGAATAAATAAACGGTAACAACAATAAAACATACATTTTTTAATAGATAATACAGATTTGCAGTTTATAATAAAAGAGATAATCACCAGTAATAGATACAATTTCTTTCGTAAGTGTATTTTATTCTCTAAAGGTTTGAACAAAAAACAAAAATAAGAAACAGTCAGCAATGTAAATAAATTCCTCTTTTTTTTTAGAATGATCCCGTCTTGCAGATGCATAGTGTGGTTCCAAGTTGTAAAGACGTCTTTCAATACCAGTCCGTCCGTAAAATACGCCGTGAAAAAAGTTAAATTTTAAGAACTTTCTTCTCTCGTTTAGTGAATCCCGACCTAACCTGCTTTTAATTTTTGCACAAATTGTAAAAGGGCTATAGTAACTAGTAACGAACCTTGATGCCTGGTTTTGAACCTGTTCCAACCTTTGTTCAAGGTAACTTTGTTGCATGTGCAAGATGACACAAGCATATTCTAAAACTGGTCGAATGAAAGAAACATATAATGTTTGTATAACGCTGCGAGATGTATTTTTAAAATTCCTGCGAATGAAATACATTTTGCTATTATTCACGTGATCATTTCACTTCAAACTGAACGAAAAATGAACTCCCAAGTACTTATAGTTTTCTACATGGTCAAGTGTCATATTGTCACAAGACGTACAGCGGGAACACACGTGTTTACACTTGGTGATATTTAAGCCATTTCCCAACGGTCACACCATACTTCGAGCTCTTTTAAATCGTTTTCAACCACACTGGCGTCCACGCCATTTTCAATAATTCTATATACTGTGCAGTCGTCCGCGAATAAGTTATTATGAGACTTATGTTTTCACAAATATTGTTAACGAATATACGAAATAGGAAGTGCCCTAGCACACCTTATTGTGCTACTCCGGAGGTCACAATCACTGGTGAAGATATTTTACCATTGAGTACCACAGTTCGCTTGCAATCAGAAAGATAGTGAGCAATACAGGTAATGATTTTATCGTTGATGACCAATAGATGATGTGGCACGGTGGCAAAAGCTTTGCGGAATTCCAAGAATACACAATCAACACTCCCTGTCTGCTGTGTAGGATACTTGAAACAAATGGGTGAATTCTGCAAGCTGTGTAACACATGAATAACCTTGACGAAAGACGTGCTGACAGGGGGAAAAGAAATGTCTAGAGTCTAGGGAGCCAAATATTGAACTAAATAAAATGTGTTCAAACATCCCGCAAGCAGTGCATGTACATTAAACCGGGCGGTAGTTTTCAACTAGACATTTTGACCCAGACTTAAAAATTGGAGCTACATTCGCTCTTTTCCAGTCAGTCAGCACTAAACCAGTGTTTAATGATTTGGTGAAAGTTACTTGAAGGTACTCTGCTACTTCTTTTCTACAATTGTGAAAAATTGCCGATGAAAATTTGTCTGGTCCGTACGCTTTTGACGTGTCACTGTCTCGTAGTAAGGCCTTAATCCCACCTACTACGATATTCACTTCGGCCATAAACACTGCTGTGGTCAGGTCAGACCAAAGGCGGGCATAGGCGCAGGAGACGAAAGAACTGACTTAAGATATGAATTGAAATATTCTACCTTTCAATGTCGCTGTCTGCTAACTTGGCATTTTCTAAGAAAGCAGGAACAAAGGTATTTTTTTTATTAACTTTCACAAACTTCCAGAACTGTTTAAGATAATTTTTTAGTTTAGCTTGAAAAGAGCCATAAAAGGTAAGTTTGTTTTCTTGTAGATTTATTTAGTCTCTGAATATTTCTTTAGGATTTTGCCAAGCACTATCAGACTGATTTGTACGATACTACTTAAAAGATCGACGTTTACGCTTTATTTGTTTTCGAATTGGGGAAGTATTCCATGGTTTATTTTCTTATTTCCCTAATGAATTCTCAATGGTATGAAAAAGTTGAGGGTACCTTGATCTTTTGTTTGAAAGCGTCCCACGAATTTTCTACATCACTCTCCTCGCTCAAGTTTAAAAAGTGAGAAAAATAAACCCAAAGCTCATGAGAATTTTTCTTAGCCACCTTTTTTGTACATTATAATTATCCGTGGAAGCATTGAAGTCTTATGCACCTGATTCAGTGATGAATCACACACAACGGCACTGCGGTCTCTAATGCCAGGAAATAGTAACATTAGACATAAGGCTTGGTTTATTAGTCAGTAACAAATCTAAAATTGAATTTTGTTTGTTAATGAGACAAATTGTTTAGGAGAAAGCGAAATAATAAGGTCGTTAAACCTGTTATACAAACTAGAGTTATAAGTTCAAAACGATGTACCCGTCGAATCGAAGTTTAGGAGATTATAGTCGCTTTCCATGATAACAGAGCTAAGCCTATCTATGGCATTCGTGGTTGGGGGATGATAGTAGGTACCAAGACAAGAGTGCCTTTTTGGGATAGTTCAACTTGGCACCAAATAGGCTCGGTGTTATTGTGTGGTACAGGGAGCTGACTGCTTGCCCATACTGCGCCTATAAAAAAAAACACCCCTCCGCCATAGGCGTGTCAATCTTTACGGTAGACAAAGAAGCCCCCAGAAAATACTTCACTATCCAGAAAGGATTCACAGAGCCGTGACTCGGTGCTCATGAGAATA